AGAGTGATGGTGTGTATCAGTACTGTGGGGGCTGTATGTCTGGTCTCTCCAGAGTGATGGTGTGTATCAGTACTGTGGGGGCTGGTCTCTCCAGAGTGATGGTGTGTATCAGTACTGTGGGGGCTGGTCTCTCCAGAGTGATGGTGTGTATCAGTACTGTGGGGGCTGTATGTCAGGTCTCTCCAGAGTGATGGTGTGTATCAGTACTGTGGGGGCTGTATGTCTGGTCTCTCCAGAGTGATGGTGTGTATCAGTACTGTGGGGGCTGTATGTCAGGTCTCTCCAGAGTGATGGTGTGTATCAGTACTGTGGGGGCTGGTCTCTCCAGAGTGATGGTGTGTATCAGTACTGTGGGGGCTGGTCTCTCCAGAGTGATGGTGTGTATCAGTACTGTGGGGGCTGTATGTCTGGTCTCTCCAGAGTGATGGTGTGTATCAGTACTGTGGGGGCTGTATGTCTGGTCTCTCCAGAGTGATGGTGTGTATCAGTACTGTGGGGGCTGTATGTCTGGTCTCTCCAGAGTGATGGTGTGTATCAGTACTGTGGGGGCTGTATGTCAGGTCTCTCCAGAGTGATGGTGTGTATCAGTACTGTGGGGGCTGGTCTCTCCAGAGTGATGGTGTGTATCAGTACTGTGGGGGCTGTATGTCTGGTCTCTCCAGAGTGATGGTGTGTATCAGTACTGTGGGGGCTGGTCTCTCCAGAGTGATGGTGTGTATCAGTACTGTGGGGGCTGTATGTCAGGTCTCTCCAGAGTGATGGTGTGTATCTTACAGTACTGTGGGGCTCTACATCAGGTCTCTCCAGAGCGATGGTGATGCAGTTGAGGAAGATGAAGAGGAGGATGATGTGATCGAACATCTTGTGAGTTATCACTCTCTGACACCACTGACGAAACCTGGGGAGGAGGGAGGGAGAGAGAGAGAGAGAATGGGAGAGAGAGAGGGAGAGAGAGAGAGAGAGAGAGAGAGAGAGAGAGAGAGAGAGAGAGACAGAGAGAGAAAGAGAGAGACAGAGACAGAGACAGAGACACAGAGACAGAGACAGAGACAGAGACAGAGAGAGAGAGAGAGAGAGAGAGAGAGAGAGAGAGAGAGAGAGAGAGACAGAGAGAGAGAGATGTGTTATTACATGTATTTGACAGGGACAATACACATCAATACTTTTTCCGTAAATGTGCCAGATTTAGCCAGCTAGCTAGTATTCATATGAGACGTTACATTCTCCTTGGAGCCTCCAGTCCAGTCTAGTCTAGTTAACTACTAACAGCAGAATTAAAACAAATATCATATGTGTTGTATGAAGCTGTTATTGAAATAATAACATTTATATGTGAAACGCAAAAACACAGAAATGTGTGTGTGTGTGTGTGTGTGGGTGTGTGTGTGTGGGTGTGTGAGTGCGTGTGTGTCCTGACCTGTTGCATGGGGAGAACAGGTAGAGGGCCCAGTCCTCATGGTCTCTACACCACTGGGGCTTATAAGGCTCCAGGAACAGCTTCACCCGCACACACACACTCTGAAACACACACACACACAGGGTGAGACACACACACTCTGAAACACACACACACACACACACTCTGAAACACACACTCTGAAACACACACACACACAGGGTGAGACACACACACTCTGAAACACACACACACACAGGGTGAGACACACACACTCTGAAACACACACACACACACACACTCTGAAACACACACTCTGAAACACACACACACACACAGGGTGAGACACACACACTCTGAAACACACACACACACAGGGTGAGACACACACACTCTGAAACACACACACACACACACAGGGTGAGACACACACACTCTGAAACACACACACACACACACAGGGTGAGACACACACACTCTGAAACACACACACACACACACACAGTGTGAGACACACACACTCTGAAACACACACACACACACACACAGGGTGAGACACACACACTCTGAAACACACACACACACACACAGGGTGAGACACACACACTCTGAAACACACACACACACACAGGGTGAGACACACACACTCTGAAACAAACACACACACACACAGGGTGAGACACACACACTCTGAAACAAACACACACACACACACACACACACACACTCAGGAACACACACACACACACACACACACAGGGTGAGACACACATACTCTGAAACACACACACACACACACAGGGTGAGACACACACACTCTGAAACACACACACACACACACACACACACACACAGGGTGAGACACACACACACACACACACACACACACACACAAACACACACACAGACAACATTTCCTCAACAGCAACACACATAATGTATAGCTACACATACTGTCTAGATATATACACACTGTCCAGATATATACACACTGTCCAGATATATACACACTGTCCAGATATATACACACTGTCCAGATATATACACACTGTCCAGATATATACACACTGTCCAGATATATACACACTGTCCAGATTATATACC